GGATGAATGTGAGGACTACTGGAATCGCACCTATAAAAGAAAATCAAATCATTACCAGATGTGCAACTCGCATAAAAAAGTATTACTGCATCCATATTCCTAGAACAACATATTCTACAGCACCAAGTATAATGAGAGAGAATGGGAGCAACAACAAAAGAACCCAAGAAAAAACATGAAAAAAAAGAACAGAGGCAGTTTGATTTTCAGTGGTCTGTGAAACGATTAAATTAAACCCTTTTTTACAACACTTTTAAGCTCTATATTTGTTTCTCTCAAACTGATGTAGGAACCTACTATAACTTGGAAACACTGTCCATCTGAAAATACAGCCACTCGATTATTATATTGAAATCTACTGAGTTTTATCAGTTTGGAAATGTAGGGAAAATGCTGTACACACATCGAGGAAGGCATTAAAACACTAAGGCATATGGTGACTTTATTTCTTTTATGCACGATACATTTCAGTGTGCTTCATTCTCCATGCCTAATTTTAAGTTTTAAACCAGAACAACATTAATAACTACACTTTTCACGTCTATACAGTATCACCCCAAGGCACTTTAAAATATTAGGGGGCCTGTTCTGTCCACCATTGGGAAGCAGTACCCGCCTGGACAATGCCTGGCAGAGATCACGTGCCAACAGCCTCACTACGCAACAGCTCAGACAGAAAAGTAACGAATTACTACCAATTAAAACTAAAGATGCAAGCCCGAGATCAACTCAGCCACAGGACACGACAGCTAACACCAATATTCCAAGAAGGACTTTTCATCCAAAGAGCTTTAACTCTCATATGAATTGCCTGTGCAGCAAGAGGTTATACTTAATAGGTTATACCATAATAAGAGGTTTCACTTCAATGAATATTAGTGAACAAATGCAGGCTGGATGGTAGAGAATGCCCAGTATATTAAAGTTTGATCCTAAACAATGTAGTCGGTATTTGTTATGACTTGTGGGCTGCTCGAGAGATAATTTTATCACAGCATGGCTTCAGAAACCAGACGATAGGTAATTTCATTAGGAGCCTGCAAAAAAATAATTTTAAATGTTTCAACTTTTATCATGTGTATCCATAGTCTAATGTTATTATACCATGATACGCATCATGTTTATTAATTGTCAATTTTAATGGATCATACGTGATTACATAATCTCATGTTCCTGTCAAAATCTAAGTCAAGAACATGTTTTACATGAATCTTTTATATTTTAAATGATTTGGGGAAGATTTCAGGATTTAGATCATGTACCTAAGAGAAGAGTTTGTTCTATTCAAAGGCTATTACTGGGAGCAGGTATTCTTCTCTGGGGTTCCAAGGCATGTTCTGCTCAAGAACATGTTCAAATTAGGATCTGCATGAAGTCATTTTTTTAAATCCCATTTCCTTAGTAGCAGGATATTAGCATGTCAAGCTTCGCACTTAAATGTACAGTATTAATTTATTTCTTATAAACATTGGTAAAAATTTGTGAAGTACTCCCATATAAAGTTATGCAACATTTACACCCTACATATACATAAAAATGAGGTATTTCTCAGCATTCACAGGTACTGTGCTTTTGTGTTTAAGGGGGTCTCCTTATGTAAATTTTTCTTTACAGTTATCCACTTTTCCAGAGCAGTGCTTGACGGCCACAAGCAACAGTTCTATGGCATTTATTCAGTTTAGATTAAAAATGACATGTACACATTCAACACTGATTATCTCTGTTCTATACAAGTTTAATTTCTTTAAAATCAATATCACATTCCAGTTATACATATCACTTTTTTTTATTTTGTAATTAAGCAATTAAGTACCTGTGCTACAGTGACTGTAGGCAGGGATATCTACACTAATGCACAGAAATTAGAAGTATAAATTTGTCTCATACAGAAACATATAGGATTTTATTTTGGGATGCTCAAACACTTTTTACAGACTCTAGGTTTTTATCTTGGGACTTGAAAAGTTAAAAATGAGACATTATAAACACTACTAATTTGTTTTTCCTTTTTGTATTCCTTGGGACTGGCCATGGTGCTACTGTACAGTACATGTATGTTATTGAATTGGCTAAGGGAGCATCTTGCTATGCGCATCTGTTGTTGCATTGTCTCTCCAGCACTTACAAACTGTGATTTTAGATCTGGATTTAAACTGGAATTTTTCACAGAGCTTCCAAGAAGCACCAGCTGCTTCATCTGGTCTGAGGTGTATTTCAGGCATGGTTCTATTGCTCATCCTGTGACAATCTCAAGGACCATCGCTAAGTAAATACACGGAGTGCGAACACCCTTCTACCACCACAAGAATTATAATGGAATAAACTGTCCTTGATTTATTGTATTTTCATCAGAAGCCCACAATCCAGAATCCCTCACTTCCAGTCCTAAAACTGCAGGGGGCTTAATGGTTACCTCTCATTGTTAACAACATTTATCTTCCACTTCACTATTAATCTTAACGATGAGGGGTTAGGAAAAAATCTTCAGGGTATTTGAGAAATCCAACTCAATTCTACAAGTTCAATAGTTATAAATCTGCAAATTAAGTGTGGTAACGTGCTCTTCACAGATAAAAAGCTACAGGCTGTTACAATTTGATAATGTTGACAATCACAAAAACACCTAAATTGTCACTGTGATTGATGAGGTTTACTACTGTAGATACAGTTCAAGTACAGCTGCAAACAAGAGGGGAACATTCGGCTTTGCTCCGCAAACA